TTCCTTCCTTCCTTCCTTCCTTCCTTCCTTCCTTCCTTCCTTCCTTCCTTCCTTCCTTCCTTCTCCTTCCTTTCCTTTTTTTTTAGGAAGGGGCAGAACTATTGACCCCTGAGAAGAACATCTTTCTCTTTTCAGTTAGCTTTTGGGTACACTCATTTACATTTTATTTATTCAGGCTCAGTTTTGTCTATCATGTAGGGACAGTCTTTCTGGGAGACAACTTCTCATTCATTTCTCAAGGGTAAGAATCTCTTAAGAAAAGGAGATCAGAGTCCCATTGAGAATGATAGTAAAGAGTTATGGTACAGAGACTAACTTCAGTTCTGAGTAGAAAACCAAAGTTCATTTTTCTGTTTTCTGACAGATTAGTCTCTACCTCTGTTCAGGCCAGGCCCAGGCTTTTGGGGAATTATCATATGAAAAAGCATATAGAGAATTTGTAAGTTGTAAATTTGTGCAGAAAATAGACCAACGATAACTAGCTGCTCTGGTGAATATTATTGATAGCTTAAAAAAATAGCTTCTGATGTTTTAAACAGTGAAAAATGACTTTTCTGTCCTGTGTATCCGCCTTTACAAGGGCTTTGGGTTTTAGATGAAAGCAGGAAATCTGGTGTAGCTGCAGTTGTCTTCCAGGGGCTCTCCTCTGGGTAAGAGAATTACATGTGAGAGACACTGCTGTTGGCAGTGCCTGAGTACCTTACTCTTCCTGAGACATTCTGGAAGTGAGGGTGGGCTGCAATTAAAAGAGGACTGGTAGGGCTGGGCATGATAGCAGAGGGGTCAGGAAGCGGGAGTTGGAGCTGGACTGTGGGGGTGGGCAAGGTAGGTGAAAGAGAGAAGAGTGTATGTTGTCCATTGGGAGGGTGGGGTAGGGAAGGAAGATATCCAGGCTGGAGGTTGGGTGGCAGGGAGCCCGTGTCCGAAGTTCCTGGAGGAAGATTCAGGGCTCTGGGTGAGGGTCCAGGAAAAAGTCCATGAGTTCCATTCAAAGGTCCGTGTGTCCTGTTCAGGTGTCCAGGGATTTGGTCTAGGAACCTGGAGGTTTGGTTCAGCAGACCAGTAATCTTGGCTCTGAATCCCTGCAGCCTCTTCAGAAGTCCAGAGCCAGTAGTTTTGGCTGGGACACTGGAGTTTGTCTCCAACAATCCAGAAGTCCTGTTTGGAAGCTTGTTCAGTGTGAGGAATAGAGAGGTACTGCGTGGGACAGCTGTGGTGGGTAGGGCCCGCTTGGCACAGAGGGTGGGTCCTACTACATGCAGCAGGAAACGCACCTTTCCTCGGAGCAGTTGTTGGAAGCTCAGGAAGATGGCATTGGGATCTTTGTGAGCTGTGGTCCTGCCCTGTGGAGGAAGCTGAGGGCAGAGGATGGGCCTGAGGCCAGAGACCTGGGCCAGATTTCATGCCTCCCTCATCTATGTGGGAAGTTAGGGTACCAGCACCCAGGCTTTATGGCTGAGAGGGAGCATTCCTGGGTAAGTCATCTCTTCTACCTTAAGATTCCTAGAATTCCTCTTCCCTCAGGTCTTCTAAGGAGACTGAGTTAGAAAAGAAGGGCAATTTCTATAGTTCTCTTGACTGGGGACTTACCTGGGTTCCAAGGAGGCCCTGCAGGGCCCCAAGGAGGAGGCGGACTTGTCCAGAAAGCTGTCCCAGTAGGGATGAGAGACAAGTGGGTCCCAGTTGTCCCCGTGCAGCCATCACTCCCTCCAGGAGAAGGGTTGTTGCTCCCAGAACATCCTGAGCCTTGGCCTGCTCCTGGGAAAGAAGTGGACGAGAGAAGTGCACTGCTTCAAAGGGCATGCTAATAGCAGGCGGGGAGCCTGGAGGAGTAGCCAGCAGAATGAATCATAGAAGCTGAGAACTGGACAGGACCAAGGTCCCACCCAGCACAGGAATTCCTTCACAGTCTCCCAACAATTGGTCATCAGCCTCTGCTTGAATAACTCCAGTGTCCGGTAACCAGCCTGGTCTTACACTTACTTTCAGTCAGAAAAGCTCTTCCCTGCCCCCCCCC